ACTCCTTCCCCTATCCTCAGAGCCTGGCACAAAGCAACAAAACAAGTGTTTGTAGTTACAGTTGACTCATTCAAGCTACATAATTACAGAAGAGGGAGTTGTAACAGCTGCCTCAATGACACAAAAGATTGGCTACTTTATTAAAAACTACAACAGAACAGGCAGGATCCTACATCCTCATCACCTTTCTTCCCAGAAAGGTTTTGTGCCTCATTTTATTAAAAATCAACCCATGACTATTTATCAAGTTTGACATTATTTATGCTACATCAGAGACTGGATTTGCAACTTGTAGGGAGTTGTCCAATGGCGTTTAAAACAAAGAGGCTCCATTTGGCCACAGCTGTTCCAAACTGCATTACATGGAAATAGGTACCTCAGCTTTCTGATTGGCCTCTAGTAGACTTGCAACAACAACAGGATTCAATTAAACCTAGTAAGTATGTGATTAAGTAACTTCTGTGGGCAAAGTGTTGTGTCAGGTATCTGGGGTATAGAAACGTACTAAGAAGGAACTGTGCCCTCGAGGCTATACAGATGGCTCTCTGATCCAGTAGGAATGGAGTCATGAAAAGGTGGCATCAAGAAGTGATCATGTGAGATGGGCCTTGAGGATTAGCAATATTTTCAGTAGGTGGAATGAGGGAGGCAGCATCTGGCTCTCAGGAATCCTGGTCCTAAGAGATGTGAGGTAGGGGGATAAGTAAAAGACGTGGGAACAGAAGCCATCCTGCACTCAGTCTGTGGCCATCTGAGGATGAAGTGACATTGCAGCGTGGCCCAGGAACCTATATCTGAGGGGGTGTTTCCATGGCAATGTCAACATTCTGCAATAAGTGATTCTGGGGAAGGAGTCAATGTAGGAAGATGGAGAAAGGAAGAGAGGAAGGGCAAGACAGTAAGAGAAGCTCCCCAAAATATCTAGGGTCTGCTCCTCTGTGGTCCCAGATGGCTCTGGTCACAGCTGCTGCACATGATGAGATCATTCTGCAGGGACAACCACAGACTAATGGCTTTGGTGTCATGATGAACTGAAGAGGCTCAGGCCTAGGACCCAACTCTTACGTAGGAGTGTTGTGACAGTTCACAAAGACAAAAAATTATTGAATGTCTCAAGAGAAACCCTTCAGCGTATTAGAGAATGTTTTTTTGCACACTTAGGAAGTGTCACCAGATTCTTTGGTGTTTCAAGTATTTCATACGTTGCAAAGAGCAAATGATATTTTCCAAGGTGGTTAAACCAATTTTTTTTATCTGATATTTTATGAAAATCTAAATGTTGTTCATCCCACAATATCTGTCCCCCTGTCCCCCTCACACTTTAAATGTGCTAGCATGGAAAAAAGTGGCGGCCCCTCGCTTTCTCACTGCTCTTGGCAGCTTCACAGGCAACTACACAAGCTGAGCGAAAAATGAGATGAGAAAGTTCTTTTGACCACTGATGTGAACTCATCTCCCAGCTCAGGTTCAGTTGCTGTCTGTCACCCTAAACCCGTTTCTTAGTATGTGAGCCCCAAATAACAATCTCTAGCAGTGTGTGTTTGAAGTTGATAAATGATATTTATGTATGAAGATGCTATTATTTCTCAGACAACCACCCATGTGTGGCTGGTACAAAACAAACAAAAATCACCTAGCCTGTGAGCAGATGCCTTCTCTACTATTGGCTTGTGGCTCTCATTACAGCTTCCAAACAGTTAATGTTTTAAGCTCTTCTGCTTTGCTTCAGAGAATGCTGGAGATACCTTTGTGTGGAGGGAGCCACATGTCTCACAGCTCAATTGAGATATTGTACAGTGCACTGTGCTGCGGCAATCCTGGCTGCTGCCCTTGGTCTGGGAGCCTCAACCCTGTTGCAACTCCTCTGCTGTGCCTCCCGAGAGCCAGCACAGCTCCATTGGGGCATATCCCTTTCCTCAAAATAAACTCCCGGATGTCAGAACTGTAACGAGCCTCATATTCTGGACCATATCAGGAAAGGAGGTAGGAAATGGAGAACCCTCCCCCAGCCTCCTCCTTCCTCAACCCATGGCCAAGCTCATGAGTTGGGGAAGCTTTGAGGCGTATTTGGTTATTAAGTGAGTTATCCTATTAGTCCTACCTTTGAGCTAGGCACAGAGCAGGTTCTTTAAATGCATGCTCATTCAGGAATCTACTCATTTTGCCTTTCAGTAATCAATCGAATGACAGCCTCTGAACAATTTTTTTTTTTTTTTTTTTGGTCAGTTCTGGGGTTTGAACTTACTAGGCAGGCACTCTACCACTTGAGCCATGTCCTTTTTGCTCTGGTTGTTTTAGAGATAGGTCTCCCTTTTTGTCCAGGCTGGCCTGGACTGCCATCCTCCTATTTATGCTTCTATCCATAGCTGGGATGACAGGCATGTGCCACCATCATTGAGATGGGGCCTGATGAACTTTTTGCCTGCCTGGGACCATGATCTCAGCCTCCCAAGTAGCTACAATTATAGGTATGCATGAGCCAGCATGCCTGACAGGAAAGACTCTCCTAAAGGTAGTTTGCTTGTTTGTTTAAGGTCTACAGCACCCAGGATTCCCAGACAGTCTCCCACCCAAGTACTAACCAGTACTTGGTTAGTAACTAAACTGCTTAGCTTCTGAGACCAGATAAGATCAAGTTCAGGGTGGTTTGGCCATAGGCTAAAGGGAGTTTTGATTGTAGTTCTTCCTCCTCCTTCCCCTTTTGTGTTTTTTCCCTCCCTCCCTCTCTCCCTCTCTCCCTCTGCATCATTCCAGAGAGACCAAACGGTTCTGATCTACCAAGCACAAAACCTACGACTCACTTTCTCCACAAGCCTCTTCCACTGCTACTAGGGTGCCTTTTCCTTTGAACTCTGCAGTTCTTGTGGTTGACAAACTCTTGTTCAGCCTTCCTCTAAGGACCCAGTATTAGGCTCAGGTAACTAGCCCGTCCCTGCCTCTCTCCTGATCATTTGCCTTCCGCTATTTACCATTTATCCAAAGGGAAGAAAGACACAGATCCCCAAAGCATGGGCCACAATTGGTAGGAAGTGTTTTGGTATTTAATCTTCAAAGGATGTTTTACATATAAAAGGCAACAAAATAAGAAAACAGTTACTGCATAGTAGCTGTCTTTTTTATTTATTTTGGTGAACTGAATTTGAATTCAGGGCTTCGATTTTCAAAGCAAGTGCTCTACAGCTTAAGCTACACCTCCAGTCCATTTTGCTGTGGTTATTTTAGAAATGGGGATCTCACGAAGAGTTTGCCCGAGATGGTCTCAAACCGTGATCCTCCTGATCTGAGCCCCCAAGGAGTGAGTATTACTGGTGTGAACCACAAGTGCCTTGGCTGTCTTTTTTAAAGAAATAAAATAGGGGCTGATGGTGTGGGTCAAGGGGTAGAGCACTTGCCTAGCAAGCGTGAGCACTGGCGTTCAAACCCCAGTATCAAAATAAATAAATAAATAAAATTCGAGTAATTTTTACTCTAACACAGAAGTATTTTTTAAAAGTTATTAATAAAACAGCACTTTCTACTATGGATAAAGTTACTTAAAGATAAATGCTGTATATCAAAAATGAAGGTTCAAAGATAAAGTCATTCCCCAAAGTGTCTGCTATGAGAAATTAAACTCATTTTTCTCTGCAACATAAGAATATTGGAACTGCCACCTTTTCAGAATCCCTCTCATGAGCTCTCTCCAGCACCCATACCAGTGGAAACATCCAAGGAAGGACATATTCATCCTTAAAGCATTCCTATGGCTTAGAGCTGCTGGCTCAGACTCAGTTTCCTTAATGACCCACTGAATATGTCATTGATGAGTTAACCTAATTTATTTATAGTCACAGAACCTAAGTTTGAATTATTTTTCCAAACCTGTAATTCAAGTTAAACAACACAATCAGAACTCTGGACACAGAACTCTAGACACAGAAGTGGATAAAGATTTGGTGGGGAGAGACGTCCAGCTGTTCACATGTTTAATACAGTTTTAAACATATGTTGGGCTGGAGACTTGGCTCAAGCGGTACAACACCTGCCTCGCAAGCGTGAGGCTCTGAGTTTAAACCCCAGTGTCACCAAATGAACATATTTAAAAATCTTTTTTCAGTTTATAAACTTTTATAAGGAGACTTTTATGATAGGGTAACAAAAATCAGGTAGAAAAATAAAGACAGGAGTTGTACTCTAAGTAAAAGAGTAGCTAGAGCTCATAACTAGTCATTCAACATCTGATATAATCTCAGGTACTCAAAAATAGATTAGGATCAGCACCCACTATGATTAAGGTAGTCAAATTAAGCCAAATAAGGCTTAATTAAATTGCACTTAAACAATTAGATCACAGAGAATAAAAAGCAAGCCTAGTCATAAAACACTTTTTTACGTGAAGCAGGGCTGGAGTTTGAGTAAATGAAATACAGCCTCATTTCCCTTAAAGACCTTTTGTCTAAAACTCATGAATCCTGACTGCATTGTTCTTAACTGTGTTCTTGTTATTTTTATAAGGTATGGCAAGGACATCAGAATCAAAGAACGATAGAACCGGAAAGATCATTTAAAGTAGACCTATTAAAATTTCCATTTAAAATCTCTTGGGCCACTTGGAAGTACTGTCTCAAGCTGGACGAAAATAAATGCTTTCACATTTGATTTTAAATTAATCTTCCCTGCTTTGTCATTCTTGAGGAGTTATTCCACCTTTTATCTGCTTCTACCATTCAGTAAGTGGTTAGTAAGATTAAATGACTTCACTGTCTTTTAAAATAGCTTCATGAGAAGCAAAGATTTAAAAAAAAAAAGAAAGAAAGAAATGCCATTGAAATTGAATTGCCATACTCAAGGGCTTTGTACCTTCTTCCTGGCAGGTGTTTGAAGGGTACAAATGTAACTCTGAGGGTGAGTCTATTACGTCCAAAACACTTCTGCTACTTTTCAGTTCTGACGCACATTGCCAGGAAGACCACAAAGGAAAACGAGAATGCCTGGCAGTTACTCGTGGCGCGGGTACTTACGGAGCAGTGAGGTAACCCTCTAAGAAGCCAGCCACAAACATGACGATCTGGTTGCCCAGGGACTGGGAGCCGTACCCAGCTTTGATCTCTAGGATGCCCCAGCCTGTGGTGTTCATAGAGTTATTGTAATAGCCATAGGCGTCCCCATTCGTGTCCAGTACATTTTTTACTTCTACTGTCTTCTCATCAGGAATCCAGTAAACCGTTGCGTAGTAGACTCCTGAAAGGAAAGGGGATTGTGATAAAATGCCACTCAACTCAGTTGCCAAAGCATTTTTTTTCCCCTATGTAACCAACAATTCCAACTCACTTGCTTTTAAACATTTTCATTCTATGAGAATGTAGTTTGTCCTTGCTACCAGTGCAGAAAAACCAGAGGCATGGGGGAATGTGCCCTGGGCACAAAGACCTAAGCCGAAGGCCGGGTGGAGTTATAGCATCATAGAGTTCATCCTTAGCAGGTGGGATTCTGGACAGTGCAGGAGATGGGGTTCATGCTCACCTCTTCATTCAACCAACCGTAGGGTCCTCCAACTTGCTGGTCACCAACTTCTTCCATTCCCCTCAGTGGCTGGACCAAAAGCACTCATTCTTAGTCTCCTTATCCTATAGCCTCTGCTTAATCCTGCTTAATTCTTCACATGCGACATTCAGATCTTATTTTGCAGAAAAAGTAGAAGCTATTTCCTGTGCTCTTGTGCTAGATGCTGGTGATAGAGCTGTGAGTTGACTGCCCTGTTCCAGGCCTCATTTCCTGGAAGGAGAAGTGAACTCAGACACATCACTTCCTCATCTTCCTCACTACTTCAGCCTGCTACAGTCTCGTATGCATCCCCACCATGCCACCAGCACTGCTAGTCCTGCCTGGGTCACTGATGAAATCCTTGAGCCTTTTAATGTCACATGCACTTCTGAAGGCATTTGACCCCGATGAATACTTACAGTAATGCCCTGGTATCTTTGGGGAATTGGTTCCAGGATCCCTCATGAACACCAAAACCCACAGATGCTCAAGTACTTATATAAAATAGTATGGTATTTGCACAGAACCTGTGCACAGTCATTCATATACTCTAAATCATCCCTGGGTTGCTTATGAGAACTAACACACTGTAGATGCTATGTAAAGAGAGGTTATACTGTGTTTTTAGGGAATAAAAAAGTCTGGACATGTTCAGTTCAGATGCATTTATTTGTTTTGAGTATTTTTAATCTGCACTTGGTTGAACCCTTGGATACAGAACCCACAGACACAGAAGGCAGCTGTATTCTTAAAATTCTCTCCTTTTGTGGCACCAGGAACACTGTTCTTTCCTAAATGTTCTCCACCTTTGCCTGACTTTCTCTCATTCACATGGGTCCCTTTGTATTCTGTATACCTGTAGCACACCTGGTAACAATCTGGAAGATTCCATAAGCACTAGAAATTCAAAATATCCAAAATAAAACTCATATTCTCTCCCAACCATCTCCTATTTTCTGCTTTTATCTCTGTCATCTCTCAACCTGAAGCCTGAATATATCTTGGCCTCTTCTTTCTCATAACTCAGATTTAATTGAAACTCACTTCCTTCCTTCCTTCCTTCCTTCCTTCCTTCCTTCCTTCCTTCCTTCCTTCCTTCCTTCCTTCCTTCCTTCCTTCCTTCCTTCCTTCCTCTCTCTCTCTGTCCACCTCTCTTTCCTTCCTACTTTCTTTTCTTTCCTTCTTACAGGGTCCTGGTGTTACCATATAGCCCAGGCTGGCCTCAAACTTAGCGATCATCCTGACTCTGCCTGCTGGAATTATAGGCAGGCCCCACCACACCCAGCTTCTGTCTCTTTATCTGTACTATCGCCTTTCACTATAGAAGAAGTCTTTTTTCAAGGTTCCTATGACCTTTAATCCATGCTCCATTCTCCACCAGAGTAACAAAATCAGCTAACTGATTTTTTTTTAGTAGGCAAACTAAAAAAATTTTTAGTAGCTTCTATTTCCTATAACAAAGAAATTCTATAGTTTACCTTCTTGGCCTTCATGACCTGGTTTCTATCTACTTGCCTAGCTTCATCACCACTGCACCAAGTGCTTTGTGATCAAGAGACAGTTACATCTGGCTTTCCAGCCAGCCTGGAGCTGGGTTAGCACCTCTCATTTGCATTTCTTCTGCCGGAGATTTTTCTTTCTTGTTAACCACCCGGCAATCTCAAAATTGCTATGTTGTACTCAGGAAGTGGTAGTGTCCCCTTTGTAGGGCTGACTTTCACTACTTGCTCATTGTCTCTTTTTTTTTTTTAATTTTTATTTTATTAGTATGTGCATACAATGTTTGGGTCATTTTCCCCCCTTCTCATTGTCTCTTGTATGCACATTTTATTTACACTTTGTTGCACAGTACTGTATCTTACATGTCTGCCCTGTTCCTAAACCATGAAGAGCAGGAGTCCAGAGACTGTTCCCTCCACACTTGGCATAGAACCTGATTCATAATAGGTACCCAAAATGTAACTGGGAAAGGAAGGGAGACTTCAGATGGAAAAGAGAGAAAAGGGGAAATAAGAAATGCAGAAAGTAAACGGTAGCTAGAACATCTCCTTCTCTGTCTGAGAACTCATCACACATCTGCTCTGGGTAAAGAAAACCTTTGCAGTAGGGTCATCAGTCATCAAAGAGGCAGGAACCGCTCGGACTGACTCTCAGGTCCTAGGTTGAGACTCAGTGGAAGGATATTGTGTCAGTCATAGAAAGAAGAAAAAGATGGGGAATAAGCCTGGGAGGTAATCCAAGTTTAATGTCAAATATAGAGTTCTTAGTGGTCAGAAGTCTAGAAGGCTCCTATTAAATGTTTAAATAGGGTTATCTTTTGGCAACATTCAGAATTGAATCAACATTTTATTTTGTGTATTAAATTATCACATTTGATTGTCTATCAAATAAGAGATAAAATTACAATTGTAACACTAGAACATCATGAATGTTGGACCTAGGGCACTGGGTGGCAGGTTGGGACTTGGTCAGGCTTGGAAGCTAATCTTGATTATAACCCTTAAAGAAGGATTCTGAGTAGGACAAAGTCCTTTTACTTCTTAGTAAAAACACCATCATAATGGAAGGCTTTCTTTAAGAAAGGTTAAGTGGAAGTGAAACTTTATCTATAAACAATATTTAAAGAAATATTTATCTAACTGTTAATGCAGCCAACCAGCCCCAATTTGACTACTGGGGCAGTTGCCATGGAAAGTTCCCTTCTCCTTTCATATAAACAAATGTTTTCCAAGTTTATTTCTGACCCCAAATGCCATAGCTGAGACCTTTCCCAGCTTTTCTCACTCGTTTCCTTCTGCCCTTCCCTCCTGCAGTCTTGTAGGGAATCAGGAAGCAGGGATGGCTGACTAAACGCAGTCTTAAAGAGCCATGGCAGGGGAGGAGTCGTAAATGGGAACCATGAAAGAAGAGAGGAAGGACAGTAAGGTCTCTCCTTTTCCACCCACAAAGCTTGATTTTAGCTTTGTCGCCTTCTCTAAAACCTTGGCAGTTCTCCTCTGAGCTCTGTCTTCCCCTTTTTGCTGCACACCTTGCCCCCTACTTTCACTGACACTTCCTCATTTCCTAATCATAAAAACAAGCTTCCCCAAATACATGCATTTTTTTTGACACCAGTGTACCTCCATGCATGGAGAAACTTTGACTCAGTCCTTAAGAGAATTCAGTGACAACACTTGACTGCTAACAGTTTAGCATGTGCTTTGAGAATTAAGCCAAAATCTGGGTTTTTCACTTTACTCTTACAATGTTCTCTCCTCAATGGTGTCTTCAGTTATCACCTCTTTCTGGTTTACCAAGCACCCATGCTATTTTCTGGTTTTCTTTAAAGGTAGGAAAATATTACATTATTCTAATCCTAACCTACTTTTATACAGCAGGGACTGTGTCTGTTCACTGCTCTGGATCAGAGAGCACTGTCCCCTACAAAATGATATTTTTTGGATGAATCCAGTTTGTGTGGTTCTTTCAATGAAAGGCAGGTTTATCAGAATACTCATTCACAGAAGTTAGTCTAAAATAACTCATGTAATTATGGATTACATGAGACATGAAAGATGGTTCTGACTCTCAGCTTAAAGTTTATCCAGACCGAGGGGCAATTGCCATGTGTTTGACATTTTTTGTGGTACTGGAGTTTGAACTCAGGGCCTTCACCTTGAGACACTTTGCCAGCCCTTTTTTGTGTTAGGTATTTTCAAGATAGGGTCTCACAAACTATTTGCCTAGGCTGGCTTTGAACAGCCATGCTCCTGATCTCTGCCTCCTAAGTAGCTAGTATTACAGACATGCGCCACTGGCACCTGGCAGATTTAATCATGTTTAACAGCACTGTCCTCAAAAGTCAATATAGTTGGTAAGTATTTGTTGAGTGCATGAGAATGTTGCTTTACAAAACTAAATTTTTTCTTCTGTAAAGTTGGTTTAAAACTCCCAATTATTTTTATATTTTTCTCTATGTAAAAACCCAACACCCAAACTAAATTCCTTGTATTTACTTGCATACTTTAATATTTTCTATGAGTTTCCTGATTTTCCTTGAAAAAAACCCTACTCTTATATTAGTAAGAAAGAATTTATAAGCTATTTCTAAATGTCTTTAATTACTCTCCCTCATATTTGGAAACTATTTTCCTAGCACCTCATTTTTTGAAAGAGTAAGTGGTTTTCAACTCTAAGCAATACAATGCTGGCCTAATATATTTAGTAAGTTAGAGGGAGAAAAAGAGAAAAGGAGGGAGAGAGAGATGAAATGAGAAAAATCAGAAAAGTATAACTGAAACTGTTCAGACTGGTCTTAGTTAATAACTCACGGATTCTGATCTTTTAATTGCTTCCTTTTTTATATCCACTGAACTAATCTCTCTATGCACCTTGGCTTCATATGTCTCTTCTTGAAAGAGTTCTTTATAAATTGCTATCTGGTTTTTAGATTTGCTTGGACTCTTCATCAGAATCACTAAGCAAATTATTGATGAATTAAAACAAGGTCCAGTCAACAAACCCATAAGTAGGTGTTGGACACATAAGTAGGCTGGACAGAGCCAAACTGAAGAGAGAGATTATTTAGGTAAGTGCTCCCAGGGACCAGGAGTGAGGGGCCGAGGAAGTGAAAGAAGGTAACAGGGAGATCCAATTTGAGAGTCTGCACTGTGGGCATTGGGCATTGATCTTACCAGGTCTCTCAGAGGTATGTGGAG